TGTTGTTAATGCCTTTCAGCTACTACCACATCAGACTTTAGCTGTTAACATGTGTTGTTAATGCCTTTCATCTACTACCACAACAGACTTTAGCTCAGTATCTTTAAATCTAAGTTATAGCCAATATTGTGTTTTCTGAGGTTAATTGTCTTTGTTGGCTATCTAAAATCAGGCTGACTCCAAATATCAATCAGTTTAGATGTTCACTTAATGACTGCATTAGCCTGAGGGTTCATGAGATATTTTGCTAACAGACCAACAAGGGTGCCAACAATTAAAGTCTGTTTTAGCTGGCTTCTATATATTCTATTGAGCATGCATCGGGATATGACTTCTACACAGTTGTAACACAGAGCATGTGTTGGGGATGATGCTCAGCTTCTACAATAAATTTTAGCTCATTTACTGTAAAAATTGCTAAGGTGTAGCCATTTTGTGTTTCAAAATCTCTGTTGGCTTTGGCAGCCATCTTGGATTGAGTTGGCTTCAAATTTTAGTTCTTCGTAAGATATTCACCAAATGATTAAAAGTTTCACTGAAATTTGTCCAGCGGTTGATGTTTTGCTAACAGACAGACACAGTGGACTCCAACAGGTAATGAGAAAGTTTCAAAAACAGGTTGTGTATGATCTGCTGGCACTTAGAACATGAGTTGCAGATGATTCTCAGCTACTTCCGCGTTATATTTTAGCATATTATCTGTAAACTGAATTGTGCTGAAGCAGCTTTGTGTTCGCTGAGGGGGCTTGACGTTGGTGGACTTTGTGAACTAGGTGGACTCCATCAGCTGTACATCCAGTGATTACAAATCATCCAGTGGTTCTTGAGATTTTTTGCCAACACATCAGACAAATAAACAAACATGCAAGCATATGCATTTTCATCCCTTCACATATGGTGGCAGGCAAAAATAAAAATATGTTTTTTCCACTGCATGTTTATATGGAAAGTTTGCACCACAGGTGTAACCCAGCAGCTTGTCCAGCCTTGTACAGTATATTATCGGATGACTGAGACAGATTAAAGTCTCATCGGGGGGAAACACTTAACAAATCTGCGCCGCTAGTTGATAAAAAGTGCTGTAAAGACATTTTCTGCAATAGGTCTTCAGTGAGACGTTAGCAGTTGGAGACAGGGCTGCACATTGCCTGGGCAACAGACACACATGTGCATATTGTGAAACTTTATAACAAATGTTGCATATTGTGAATTTAAGCTCACACGATCAGCCAATACAAGACCGTGAAACACACGCAGGATTTCTTTCTCTTTCATTTAGCTGTGTCCTTTAATCGACTAGAGCACTCGTTTCCCCCGAGGGCAGCAACAAGAGAGAAAAAATTGCCAAACGTATTCTTCCACCGCACGGAGCACTGTCTCTGTAAACAAATCATTTTACAGGTTTCAGAATGCTTAAAGTTGTTGTTGTTGTTTTTTTTGAGGTATTAGAAAAGTAAATGTGTGCAGAATGAAGATCTTCCATTCCCTGAAGGTCTGCGTGTCAGAGTTTTAATCTAAAATCACAGAAGTCAAATCTTAAAAATGCAAAATCTGACATGATTTTGCAAAATCCCTTGTTAGCACTCAGAGTAATGACTCTCAGCTACTACCACAACAAATTGCTCCGTTTCCGTCAAATTGACTGAGTTGTGGACGTTTTGTGCTGGTTTTATTCGATAATCCAACTAGAATTGGATGGATCAGTTGTAAATTAATGTTCATTGATTACTTTCTAAAACTGATTAAAATCCATCCAGTAGGAGATATTTTGCTAACAGACAGACAGGATGTGCTCCAACCTTAAACAAAGATCTGATGCAATTTCTTAAAGCTCAGAATAGAAGCTGAGGATGACTCTCAGCTACTACCAGACTAGATTTTAGCTCATCATCTGTAAAAGTGACTGAATTTTAGCTGTTGTTGTGTTTTCTAATGTCATGGCTGTCATCAGATGTTAGCCATCTTGGATCAAGTTGACTCCAAATGTTAATCATATGTAGATGTACATTTTATTATTACTTACTGTGTTTTACAAGCTGCTGGTTCATTGGAGATTTTACTAACAAACATACAAATACACACAGGCAAAAATCCAATCACCCACGCTTTGGGTAAAAAAAAAAGGCAAATGTGTAAAATAACACCTGGGTCCTTCCATGTGCTCTGTAGATTTTACACCCAGTGAGTTGAGCAGAAAATGTCCTTTATGTGTTGCTCTACAGGATCAGGATGGTACGTTAACATTTCTCTGGCAAAAATGTGACTAATGTGGGTTTTTTCCAGCCAAAATAATTTTAGTTTCTCCCAACTCCTCCATCCTGCCAGCCTCATATCACGCTTGTTTGTCTGCTGCAAACATGAATATTGACAGAATGGTTCGTGAAATGCAAAATGACAGTTTTTTTCTCGTAGGGTTACTATATTTTATAATTTTAAGACACATAAACCCTGCTGTACCTCCTGGTTCCGGTTTATTTTCCCAGAAGAGGTTTTTGATTTGGCATTCATAGCCAAACGGTGTTCTCAATATGACCAGAGATTGTGTTGAACGAAAGTAGTTCTTTAACCTTTAAATATAGCTGACCCTAGCAAACTTTATTTATAATATGTGGCGCCACGCTTTGTGGAACTGAAAGCAGTGCTTTTTTTTTTTGTTCTACTGTGGGGATTTCTAAAATCCCTGAGCCGAGGTTTTACGGTGCACACAAATATCACACTCTGAATAATAGTCTGAGAACACTTTAATAAAACGGCACACACAGAGCACCGCACCACAAATGGGATGGAATTTTGAGCACAGCCTTTCAAAACACGATTTGTCAGAGAGATTACCATAGCAACCACCAATGACGCTGCACCCAGGATGTCAACAACTTAGTGTTGTGAGCCGTGTTTTGTTTTTGAGATTAATTTGTTTTGTTTATTTTCAGTTTTCCTTGGGTTCAGCTTGTTTCTTGTCCTTCTCTGTTTTTCCTCTCATTTTCTGAGTACTTTTTCTCTGTCCTGCCACACCCCTCTCCACCTGTTCCCTGTTACCATTAAGCCACCTGCCTCCAGTCTCCTCATCGGCCCCAGTCCATTTAGTCTCTGTCCTCACTCCCAGGATTCACATTTATACTTCTGGGCAACAATCTCCAAGGTCCCCATCATCACGACCCCAGAATCACCGTAATCTGGCAAAATACAGAATAAATTACCGTAGTATAAAGTAAATATACTTCAAATTCTAACTATCTGGTGTGTTATTATTATTACTGATGTGCAAATATCCAAATGCTCATAAAACTATAAATGTTATATACCATGTCCTCTTGTTAACGCAAACCACCAAGACTGAGTTAAGTTGAGCGCACTTTGAACTCCATATGAGAGCATACGTGGTTAGCAACGCATTGGCCATTGGCGCCAGAAGGATTTGTAATGGGGGGGGGACACTGGTGGGGGGGTCTGGGGGTCCTCCTCCATAAAATTTTGAATAAAGTAGATCTCATTTCCTGCATTCTGGTGCATTTTAATGGTTGTTTAACAGCTAGTTTCGCTTACATTTTAGCGTTAATGGCACAACAAGAAGTAGCCTGACCAACAGCTCTCCTTGTGTGAATAGAGCATGCTCCGCTAGCCACAGTCTAAGTAACGTGGTGTAGCCTAAGTTAACTTTAAGGGGGAAAAAATCAGTGAGAGTCACTCCCCTGCAGTCTGGTGTTGTGGTTTCACACCCTGGTTCGTCGAGTTTCATTTTGTTTTCTAGTATTTTTTGTTGCCAAGCCAACTCTTTTTGGGAGTTTTGTTACTTTTGATGATTAAATCGTTGGGTTTTACTTGAGCTTCTTGTGTTATTCTGGGTTTGACTTCTAACTGTGATGCTTAAAAGTAAACGTTCTCTCTTTTTTTTTTCTTTCTTCACCTGCATCTTTTCTCCTCAAGATCCCTCAGATTAGCTATGCCTCAACGGCCCCGGAGCTGAGCGACGACAGGCGCTACGACTTCTTCTCACGAGTGGTTCCTCCAGACTCCTTCCAGGCCCAGGCCATGGTGGATATACTCCGAGCCCTAGACTGGACATACGTCTCCACCGTCGCCTCAGAAGGCAGCTACGGGGAGAAGGGAGTGGAGGCTTTCACACAGCTCTCCAAGGAAGCAGGTAAGGACATGGTGATTTGCAACAGGAAAAATAAAAACAACAAATGCAGTTTAAATGTTAAACAGTGCTTTGAAAAAACCCTCTTCTGCACTCACTCTGAAAGTAAAAAAAAAAGATTAGTTTGAATTTCCCATTTGCTGTAAAAATCTGTTTTGGGTGGATGAATTATTGATCTGTTTGGCAGCTTCTTCTGGAGCTCTCCAGCGGTGTTAGTGGAAATGTAGTCAGAGAAACAGCTGGCAGAGAAAACATACAATCACGCCAATGAGCATTTTGCTTTACTCTTGTTATTTTTGTTTTTAAGTTACGTTTTTTTTTGTTCTGATTTGTTTTCAATTTAATGTTCCAAATATCGCTTTGCTAACAAAAGAGAGGAGAGAAACCCTTCAGCTGCTCAGTGGTCAATGATTTAATAAAAATGTTTATCTTATCTTCATATTTTATCACTCGTTGTGAAATTCAGGGACTTTAAAGATCATGAAAGTGGTCAGTGAAAAATATTCAGACTTGTTGGAAGAAATGCATTTATTCCAAAATTAGACAAAAAGTGCATTTAAAGAAAAAAAGACATCTTAAATCAATAGTTCAGATATTTTGAGGTTCAGTAAGAAGTTTATGAACAGTTAATCATACTTGTTGTAGACAGCTCTTTAAATAACCCCAGATTGGGAAAAACTAAGTTTAATTCTGATTAAACAGACCAGCTAATAACTAGTCACTTATGCTGGTGAAGATTCTCAGTCATCCAGGACATGATGAATTCAAAAAGCGTTCAATTGTATTGAACGCTTTTTGAACTAGTCACTTATTGACATATATAAAATTAGATGAAATGTTCCTGCCTTTGTTTTTGGATGCTGAAACCAGCAGAACATTATTTATGGAAGCTGCGAGACACTCAGCTCACAAGATGTGACAAAGACTCTTCCTCTCAGTACGTAGCTGCAGAAGTTGCAGGAGACACCAGAAAGCTGTGTTATGCACCCCACAGATCCTAGTGCCTGACATGTTTGAGGACTGCTGTCACATGAGATGAAACATAGTTAGTAAAAGATTTCACATGACAAGGTCATGATAAAAGTTTGTTTTTCTTGTTTTGGGGGTGGGGGTGGGAGCCAAGTCCCACCTACTACTTAACACACAATTATGGTGTAAAAAGCTTTCTTTTCATCGTGACAAAACTAAAAACAGATTAAAAAAATAATAAAAATTAATATTTGAATTTACAGCCGTGAGATTGGAGTGATGTGAAACAAATGGAATCAACTCCTGGAAGAAAAATTACCTGAGGTGAATTTTTGTTTGTTTGTTTGTTTAAATTAGGCCAGTGTCATATTTGTTTACATGAAGGAAGCAGGTATACCTGGGACCACCCTGTGGGGGTGCTGTACCTGCTCCGGTCTCATCTTCTGGGCAACTGTTTGGTGTCCAGTATTTCCTTACATGTTGAGGTTGTCACTTTAGAATATGTACAAGCTCAAAAAATGACAACTGTTCATGCAAATAGTTTTAAACCACCTTTACGCCACCGTCTTTTTTTGCATTGCACGTACTGCATGCCTTAAACCTTAAACTGCATGTGGACGTGCTACAGTCAGATGTGAGTGCAAATAACCACAGAATTGTATGCAAATAAACATTTACTGCAAATCGACATGAACCATCATAACTTTGTTGACAATAGAGTTGTTTTAAGCCAGCAGCGATCCATTTTCAGTCTTATCTAGTCTCAGAATTGCCTCCAATTTCAATCCGGACGAAATTAAAATCCTGATTCTCCGAACTGAGGTTGTTCAAAGAGCTATCAACAACAACATATTAATTTTTCACAACCTTTCCACCGAGCCCCACTTCAAAAGAAGTGAACAATTTCTTCCGCATTAGCATTAGTGGGTAAATTATGTAGTAAAACTAAAATAGTTTGACTTTAAGCGCCATTGATGTTGCTTTTGAGGTAAATGGTTACAATGCTCTGTTTAAAGAAGTCTGAATGAACAGAAAAGAGTTCTGTTTAGACACTCAAACGCAAATTAGCCAGAAAGCGGTCTGAAAATTGTGCACACGCTCGACTCACCTGCTTTTATCCACGCTGGTGCTGCTGTTGGCATACGTCAGTCAGCAGTTAGCGCTAGCGGCAGAATGGGCTGTGTTTGTGTACAGTGCAACAGGTCAGGCGGCGTTATCGAATCATGTGGTTCACAGTGTCTTTCTAGAGTCTACAGACTTCGTACGATGGCTGGAGCTGTTCATCTGCAACACGGGGCCAAAAGGTGCCTCGTTACAACACTGCCTTGATTAAACAAACACATCTTTTCATGCTTCCCGCACCCCCACCTCTGTGTACTCCAATCTCAGCCCTGTAAATGTGCACGGAGTGAGCTCTGTGTATTCTTCTAATAGACTAATGCACAGAAACCTCTGAAATGAGCAAAGCTAATGACATCCCACAGGCACCGATCAGAAGTCTAAGATGCATGAATATTTTATTTGCGTGCATTCACGGCCAGTGTGATCACTCACTAAAACTTTAAGAAGCTGTTTGCGGCTGCGTAATTTGCATCGACAGAGTGGGGAGAACATGGGGGGAGAGAGGGGAAAAAAGAGATGAAGTAGCTCGGGTAGGGAGAATTAGGAAAAGTCCTGATTGAAGGCTTGTTTTTAAAAGTTCCAATTCATCTAATGTCTGAAATAAACACTATTTTCCTCCCGCTGCTTTTCCCAGACACATTTCAACTAATGTTTCTTTTTCTTTCTTATGCAAAGAGCGGTACACACAGAGATATAATTATGATTCCCAAACAGCTACACAAGAGGTAAGGAATTACAGCCATTGTTATTTTGCACTCCTTCTGTTGTGGCTGAGCTACAGCCACTGCATTAGTTTCTATTCATACACAAATGAGAAATATATCCTGTAAAGGAAAGCTTCCTGTACCCAAAGGTTTATCTTTAATAAACACATTAATTATATAGTAGCGTGACGGCACAGTCACAGCATTCATTCAGAAGCAGCAGCTTTGCATTAACGCTGTTTGAAATGGGTTCGACTGAATAAGGAGGAAATTTCTCCGTTGATTTGGAGGAAAAATAAAAAAAATAAAATAAGAGCAGCTACGGGGTTTTGTGTGTTTTGATTAAATGTGCAAAGAACAACAGGCAGCGTTGTTGGGTGGGTGTTTGTTGCAGCATCTGTGCAAGCTGATCCGTAAGGCCCTGAGACATTTCTGTGTAGCCGCCTGGTTCGGTTGCGTCAAAATGTCAGATGCATTAGCAGGATACTCGCTTCACCACTTCAAGGAGAACCATCCCGCGCACTAATGCAATATGGGTGCCCATTACCCCAAGCTGAGACTGGAGTGATGGTCAGCCTGTATTGATCTTTTCCTTCTACCCCCCCCCCCCCCCCGGATTGGTTCCACAGTCTCTCTTCTCTGTTTGGGCACCATCACACTGTGCACCCTCCATCTGGCTCCAGGTGAATCTGGCAGAGATAAATCTTGTTTGTACTTTTCTGTGTCTGTCTGGACTCGGGCCAGAGCGATGCAGTTCAGTTTTCCCATCAGATAAAAGAAAATGACTTACATTTGAGGAAAACCTCCCACCAAGTATCGCAGAGGAATTGATTGCAGCGTGTTGCCAACACCGATGAATTCTCCGGCCCCGTTTTAACTCTGATGAGAGGGAGGAAAACCCCCTCCTGCTAATGTATTAGACTTATTGTATGTGCAACTGCAAAAAGGAAAAAAGAAGATTTTATCACCCGCCACTGAGGTTGAAAGTTGATGATGTTTTTGCTCGTGCCTGAGTGTGTTTGTTTGTTAGCAAAATATCTCATGAACAGCTGGACACATTTTAAGTTCAAATCAAGCTTATTGTCATTCGCATCACATGTGGTACATGAGGTGGAACGACTCAAGGTCCCAGTTACACCCAAAAATAGCAAAAACATAAAGTATATAAATAAACAGTAAATACGGATCTAAGATATACGCTAAACACTAATAATGCAAAATAATACGGCATAACAACAACAGTCCAAACATGAGTCTGTAGTGAGCAGATGGGTACAAATGAACACAGCAGCATGAGATCAGCAGCATGAATAATCAGCAGCACAGATAAGTCATATATCACCACTTAAAGGGGCATTACACTGATTTTTTTTTTGGTTAAGGATTTATGAGTGTAACAGCTTCAGGGTATGAGCTGCAGAACTTCTCTAAAAGTCATATTAAGGTCAACCCCATTCAAGATGGCTGCTAAAGCTAAGCAAACTTAGCAAACGCTGACATGTCAATAACTCAGACAGTTTTATAGAAACTGAATCTACTGTGGTAGTAGCTGAGATTTGTTCCCAACAAATAACCTTAGTGATAACTAATTGTGTGAGATCTTTTTATTTTTTTAATTTTTACTTTGCATTAACTATTAGAGACAACTAGACATGTCTGTTAGCAAAATATCTCATAAACAACTTAACATATTTTAATGAAATTGTCAGAATGCTATTATTATATAGACACCAATAACTGATAATCTTGTCGAGTCAACTCATTTCAAGATGGCTGCTGCAGCTCATCGACCTTAGCCAACATAAAAACAACTTTTAACTGAGTCAGTTGTACAGAAGTTGTGCTAAAGTTTAAAGGTCTCTCTTGTAAATGAGTCCTTGGGGCTCAGTGAGACTAACCTGTATAAATAAAGGTTGAATGAAGTTTGATGTAGTTTTTGAGAGTCATTCCCAACAAATTGTCTGAGCTCTTTCACATCACACACGATCTCTAAATTTTGCATGAAGCCCAAGTCCACCCAAATCAGATACAACTCTGTCATTTCTCATCAAATGACATTCAGTTTAAAACTCCTGCATGAAAAGAGGCACGAGGCATTTCTTTAATTATAAACCAGAGCTGCTCTAAATGACCCGTCCACGTCTCGTCCCAGGTCGGTGGTGGAAAGGCAAGCTGGATATGAAAGAGCAGAGAGGATGAGAACATGAA